CTGCATTAGTTAGAAGTTTTCTTCTATGATTGGGAATGTACTTCTCACAGCCAATTTAACTCCTGCTTGGTTCCTGTGCCAAACTCAGTAAACAGTATCCACCATTATTATAATAAGATGAACCTGTTTAGGGAGAAGTTGACATTCATCAGATCATATTCTTGCTTAAAAGCTTTAAGTCATTTTCTTTATTGAGAATACTCAGTTTTCCCTGTGGTAGTAACCATGTAATTTTTGAACCCAAATTTAGGATCTTGACAGGGTTATTTTTTATTATGTAGCTTGTAATTCATGGGGTGGGATGCTTATAGTTATATCTATTAATTCCTGGTCACCCTTGAATTTTTATTTTCATTGTGGAAAAGCCATCTGCCTTTTTGTTTGTTCATTTGAATGCATTACAAATTTTTTATTTTTATTTACAGCCATCTGCATGGGAAAGGTATCAACAAGAAGTGAGAGAATGGGAGCAAGCTATGATCAAAACCAATACCATCCTCCCCAATGGATGCCACGAGAAAGGTGCATCAGTTGAGAAGCCACCAATGTTTGCTTTTTGTCTGAAACCACGGGGCCTGGAGGTTCCCAACAAGGGATCAAAACAACGGTCACAGAAGAGATTTTCAGTTTCTGGACATAGCAGTGGCATGTTAGGAGATCAGGATGGTTTCCATGTTATTGGTAATTTTCTTTACCCTTCGTATTTCAATCAAAATCTTTTCCCTAAATACAAATTTTGACTAATTTCTTTTGCAAGCATCTTTTTTATTGGGTTTTGTTTATTCCCTCAGGAAGAAGATCAAATGGTTTTGCTTTTGGTGATGAAAAAGTTGTATATCCAGGCCACAACTATGACTCTTTAGACGATTCCCCATTGTCTCAAACATCACCTAGGGTATTTTCACCAAGGGATGCAACTAACATCTTGATTAGCAATGATGGGTTTGAGAGGAATCATCTACATAGAATTCACAGAAGCAAGTCAAAGAAATTTGGAAGGACGGTATCTCCTGTTGAACCCCAGATGGTGTCTCCTTACAGTCATAGAGTGGTAGGAAACAGAAATGGAGTTCAGCGATGGAATATGGGTTTCCCTGATTGGTCAAGCCAGCGGTATTATCAAACAGATGGGCCTCAGAGGCATGACATGGGATTGTTGGATGGTCCTGATCTTGATGAGTTCAGACTGCGTGATGCATCTGGTGCCGCTCAGCATGCACATAACATTGCTAGGCTCAAAAGAGAGAAAGCTCAGAAATTGTTTTACAGAGCAGATCTAGCAATTCACAAGGCCGTGGTTTCTCTCATGACTGCAGAAGCGATCAAAGGTTCTTCCGAGGACTCTGATAGCGAAGGGTAGAACATCAAAATTAAACATGAGATGACAGAATGGAAACGCCAAATCCCTCAGCTTGCTGTTGTGCAGGCAACCTAAAGAGAACAACTATTAGACTCAACAATGTTTTTGGTGGAATCAGTCAGTCTGGTTCTACTTTGTCGATAGTGGTGGCTTTTTTTCCGTCTTTTTTACGCAGATACGATAGAGAAATTCTAACATGAGAGCCATGAGCAGTAAGAGTGGGGAAGAAAATCATTGCTCCAACGACACCAGCAACGCCCCTGATTCTTCTACTAGCGAGAATTTTTTTTTTTACCAGCTTGAGGTCTGTCTACTCGGTTCAAATCGGTGCAATCTTTGTACTGATCCTGCAGGTTAGGGAGGGAGAGGGGGAGGGGTATATGAAATTTTTGGCTGCCAATCTCATTGTACAGATCTTTTTCCTTGTTCTTTGTTCTTTGTCCCCCTTAACCCCCCTCTCAGTGTTTAAGTGTTCGGTATTAAAAGGAGCAGTTTGCCCAAATAACACTCCACTTGGGAAAAAGAAAAAGAAAAAGGAATGATTGCCTTTTGCTGTTGAACACTCAGCTTGCTTTACTCCATACTAGTGATAATACGCGACAACCTGATTCAACAGACTCATGAATTACACCGTATGGAAACCAATTGTAAAAACACTTTCTTCACCAAGATTATTGGGGAAATGTCTGAAATGAGGAGTCGTGAACATTTTTTTTACCCCAGTTTGTAAAACTTTACAATCTACTCTTCTTGCATGTGAAAAGACTTGCGCATCATGGCTCGAATAAAAAATTGAACGGATATATTTATACACAAATCCAAGATTTAAGGGCCGATTATGTATTTATAAGGTCAAATAAATTGTTGACTTGTTGAAGTTGGTTATTTCAGATAATTCCCCAAAAAATTAATTCCATACACCAGCCAAAAAAGATTTATCGAAACAAAGAAAGCTATCTTTTGGCAATTGTGCTGGTATAAATTTGGCTGGCAACAGAAGCATTCTCTTCAATCATTGTCTCGAGGCTTTTTCATAATCACAGTGCATGAGCGCATGCATACATTTCCACATACGTATCACGAATAAATTACAAGTATTGGCATTTCTGATCTCTCTCATGTAAAGGGTTTGCCCTTCCAAAAGTTTTTATATCTGCCCATCCATCTTCTTGACCTAAAGTTGCCATGGCAAACCCTCCGCCCATCCATCTTCTTATTCCTTCCTTCCCATCCACCTTCTTTGCCTCATCCCCTTCTCTCCAGCTCTTTCTGAACAGAAACAAAAATGGTCATACACCGTTGATTTGGACGGTTGCGATATGGACTTTCGCATATGAGAGGTCTCATTCTTAACGAATATGATTTGTAGGGGTATATTTTCATTCATCATTGAATTTAATTTAAAAACCAGACGCAATGGTGAGGTATGATTTGTATGGCAGTTGACTGTTCTAGACGCATATGAGCGTATAGCCGTGCGGCTGTACTGTTTCTTTAAAAACCACAGTGTATCCGTACGGCTATACTATCTCTTTAAAAAAAATTAAAAATTACCGTATAGCCGGGCGGCTATACTATTTCTTTTTTGACAAAAAAAGGTCTTAGTATATCCGCAAGGCTATACTATTTAAATTTTTTTTTAAAAACAAGCCTCCTAGTTGCATTAGTTTATACTTTATAGATATTGATTTTGCATTATTGAAAATTTTGAGAAAAATAAGTGTATTATATATGAAAAATACGTATGTACATGTTCAAAATGAGTATTGTACGTTTGCTTATTAAAAAATTAGGACAAAACCGGGTATAGCCGCCCGGCTACACTAGTTCTTTTAATTTAGAGTGTAGCCGTTCGGCGGTACTATTTCTTTAAAAAACAGAGTCTAGCCGGACGGCTATGCTATATCTTTAAAATAGAGTATAGCCGTTCGGCTGTACGATTTCTTTTTAAAAAACAGAGACTCTAGCCGATCGGATATAATATATTTTTAAACGAGAGTATAGCCGTCCGGCTATACTATTTCTTTGTAAAAAAAACACAGCGTCTTTCCGACACAGCTATCCTATATCTTTAAAACAGAGTATCGCCGTTCGGCTATTTCTTTAAAAAAAACAGAGAGTCTAGCCGTTTGGCTATACTAATTTTAAAGAATAAAATAAAACGCATAGTATAGCCGTACGGCTATACGATTTAATTAAAAAAAAGAAAGAAAGAAGGACCCTCCTAGTTGCATTAGTTTATACTTTATAGATATGGATTTCGTATAGCCGCGCAGCTATACGAATACAATATGTACTTGTTATATTCTCCAAAATTTTGGCAAATTACAACTTAAAAGTTCAGCCACTATACAATATTTTAATATATATTATTTGTATTCAATAATATGTGAGAATTATGTGCATTTTTGTTACAACAAGTAAGAAATAATCTTAGCCTCTCACAGTCTTTCATAGTTAGTAAATCCATCAAAAAAAGGACCCGCAAAGCGCCTAGCGCCCATAATCCCTAGAAGAAAAATAGAAACGGAAAGGAAACCGAAGAAAACTATACAACTTATTCCCTCCTACCGCCGTCACTACTATCATCAATAATAATAATATAGGGAAATAATATACTCTCGAAAGAGCAATACCTAAAACAAGTCTGTTATTCAATTTACTGCTAAACTGGTATGACATCATTCTTTAATACATCATCACGTCTCAAAATAATACCCTCAAGGCTAGATCTACATTTGGCCCGCTGGCATCCTATCATATCTGCTATTTATTTATTCAAAATTGATAATTAGCGTGCGACTAATGGTTTAATTAGGAAGTGGCGGTTGTTTTTGTTACTAAAAAAAAAGAATCAGCGTAGATTCAACGGCTACTATTATTTAGCGGTAAATTTAACCGTTCGAATCGGCAACTTTCACTCCCTCCTTTTGACCTCTTTATCTCCTCTCTCTCTCTAACCGACTTCGTTGCACAAATGTCCGACTCTAAGCCGTCGGTTCTCTGCGACGCTTATTATCTTTACTTCCTCTCTCGGTTGCCAATTTCTGGGATTTCTTCTGCACGCTGGTGGATGCAGGCATAGATCATACAAAAACTACACTGGTTATATAATCAGGTTAGTTTCCCCCTGCAATTTTCTGTTTGCTTGCTCAGAAAATTGAGCAGAGTAGAGTGAATGTCGTCCTCTTTTCCTTCATTTTGATCGGATATGGATAACAAGTGGTTTTATTTCATTTCCGTCTGTTTGGTTACTGAGAATATGTGGGAAAAGTAAAGGACAGGGAACGTTCATATTCATGTAAAACATTGCATTTATATAGTTGAAGGATCATTCTCAATTTTCTTTTTCTGAAGAAAATAGAGAAAATATGCATTTCCAATCATTTTATAGATGATGTTTGAATTATTTATGGAAGATGACATTTCTATTTTTTGGATGGAAGGAGGTGCCAGATTTTCCTGCATGCGGAAATCGATATAATCTGCACTGGTTATATAATCAGGTTGGTTTTCCTCCTGTAATTTTCCCTTTGAATGGTGAGAAATTTTGGAGAAGAAAGTGAAGATGACCTTTTTTTTTGTGTGGAATAATTATTTATCCCTTCTTTTTTGTTCAGGTTACATAATTTTCTGAGAAATGGGTAATCGGTTGAAGGAAGATGAGAAAATCGAAAGAACAATTCGCAGTCTTTTGAAACATCCTCAGAATAAAAGATGCATCAATTGTAATAGTCTGGTATGACATCTTCTTTACATATTTTCTTATCTCTTTGGTGTGTGTCCTTCATTGTTATATGGTCCTTATACAAGTGAAATTAAAAGCATCAACAACGGTTCTTCATCTGCAGCATTATATCAGGGAAAGCAGCAAAACCCTCAATTTGTTATTTTCTGCAAATTAACATTTGAACTCTGTAAATGCATGGTTAATTATGTGTTAGATTTCTTATTGCATTCAAGACGCACTGTTTTTCGAAAGATATATGAGAAGATACTTAAGAAATATATATGTTTTTGTGAAAAATTTAATTACATTTTGGTGGAAAGCGCAGTTTCGTACGTTTTCTCTTACAAGCAAATGTTCAACATTATTCTTAACATGTATTCTTTGTGCAGGGACCACAATATGTTTGCACAACCTTCTTGACATTTGTGTGTACAAATTGTAGTGGAGTACAGTAAGTATTCATATCTGGTTTACACTCACTACCTCTCCGTGATACCCTTCTTTTCTATAGTTTTCTTTATTTTTATTGTGATGTGCATAAATTCTGCATGGCATCATTTTGATTTTGTGTTTTACAAGTTCTGACCTATTAAGATTTTTCGTATTCTTCAGTCGGGAGTTCACTCACCGAGTGAAATCAGTGTCGATGGCTAAATTTAATGCAGAAGAAGTTAGTGCTCTGCAGGCAGGGGGAAATGAGGTGAGCGTGCATACTCATTGGTCTTTCTGTAAGTATATGTTCTGTCCAGGTTCTTACTAAAATTTTCATTTACAGCGAGCAAGACAAATTTATTTTAAAGAATGGGATCCTCAGTACCATGCTTACCCTGATGGCAGGTGATTAAGCGTATTTGTCTTCTATTAATATGGGTTAATTAATTCATACCAGATGTTTTCTAATTCACATACTTTCCTCCAGTAATCTTCATAGACTCAGGGATTTTATCAAGCATGTCTACGTGGATAGAAAATACACTGGTGAGAGGAGTGTTTACATTGGTGAGAGAAGTGTGAACAAGCTTTCAAGGCTGCGATTGGTGAGCTATACATTTATCAATGGTTGCACATACAATATTTTATTTCATATTTTTTTACTTTCGTCTGTGGAGAGCTTGGCCATTCCTGATCTGCACGCTATATCAGCAGCAGCAAACACTAAAAACATAGACCTCATTTTGGTTTTGTGATGATGGATTGTTTGAAAGTTCTGTTGATTGCCCCCAGTTAAAGATTCTTGTTCATTTTATACAGGGCAATGAGGAGTCTGATGAAGGCAGGAAGGTAGGTTCATATCATGGTGGATCTAGGAGTGTCCATGATGACGACATGCATGAACGGAGTTATAGTCAAGGAATGAGTCCAGGTGAAAGAGGTACCGACAGAAGTTTAAGATATTACTATGATGAAAGAAGAAGTCCTCGATATTCTCAAGAAAATGTAAGAAGTGGTGGTGTCAAGAGAAATCCTCTGCGTTTTGAGATTGTTGATAACAGGATTCGGGAGGAAAAAACCAGACGCAATGGATCCTCAAGTGGAGAATTCAAGGTCCAAAGCAGGGCAACTGAAAATAAGAAGAACATGGAGAGGTCTCGTTCCCTTGTTGCACGCTCCACTGCAGAGAAAATAGCGCAGAATGTGCCTCCTCTACAGATTGGTGAAATTTCTACAGAAAATCAGAAGAATGCTGATGGCTCTGCTCAAAATCAGGTCAGTTGCTGCTACATTATGATGGATATTTGATTGGATCATAGGTGTTTTTCTTTATGTAGTTCATAGGCTCCGTTGGTTTGGAAGACTACTTTTTTTATAGACAGTTTTCAAGAAAGATATGCGCTTATAGTTTGTGGTTTCCTCTGTAGAAAATCAAATCTGCCAATGGCCAGGATGGGAATGCGACGGAAAACAAAATAGTAAGCTTGATTGATTTCAATACTGATTCCGACCCCCCACATGCCGCAGCAAATTCACAATCACAGCAAACACCTCCACCTAATAATGATAACAACTGGGCCTCATTTGATTCATCTTCAAAGGAGAAGGCATCTCAGGTTCCAAATCCAGACCCTTTGGAGTCTTTGCTACTTGAATTGTCAGCTCCCTCATCTGTACCTGCGACTAATGCATCTGAGACACCACGCAATGATGTTGCACCCTCAACTTTGTGTATAAGCAACATGCCTGCAGGCGGTGCTGCCCCAGCTGCACCTGTAGAGCAGATGCCAACATTACTTGATGCTCTAACTGCTTCTACATCTACATCAACTAGTACCGCTGTACCAGAACAACCTGCTAATGTAGGTCCTTTGCTAGCTCTACCTCCTCCTAGTGGGGGTGATACCACTCTAAAAGTTAATAATGGGCAGCAGCCACCAAGTATGCAGCAATCCTTCCCTGCAGATAGCGGTTCACAACATATCAATACTCCGGTTCGAGCTTCAAATGGTGAGGTAAGATAAATATCGTTTCCTCCTTATTAAATATTGAAAATTCAGTTTAGCAATTACTGATTATGAATTATTCTGAAAATTCTTCAATGTAATTATACTGCTTTCTCTTATGTCTTATGTAGTTTATGGTTTTTTCTTACTTTGTTGCTTAATGTACACATTTGCAGTCAAGGACTTTACCACTGGCACCAAACATACAAAGATCTCTCAGTATTCCTGTTGAAAAATCAACTCAATCTTCTTTAAAGCCAGCTGAAGATACTGGCAGTAGAGCTGGATCCCAATATTTTCCAGCGGAAACAAGAGCTAGTATGAGAAAGGAACTTCCAGTGGTATCAAATTGTCTTATGTTGTTTCATATTTCTTTTTCTGTAAAAAAATTCTTAGTCATTATCTTATATTGAATTCTCTACAGGACCTTTTCTCTGCTAGGTACTCATCAGTCCCTGCACAAGCTTCAGGTTGGCATAGTGCTCAAGCTCCTGGAATGGGGTACAGCATGCAGTATTACCCTAACACAACGGTATATAACGTATAAAAATGAATCAAGCTGAATATGTTCTGTGTTAAGATTTCTTTATGTATGCAGATTATTGATATATTATTTTCATTTACAGCCTGCTCCTGCATTTCCTGCTCCAGCAAAACCAACAAACCCGTTTGATCTTAATGAAGAAAAAAGTGTAGTACATTCCACACATGTATGCACAACATTCAAACTGACATCTTATTCTTTCTCGATTTTGTGAAGTTTTTTTAAAATTCATACTCGTAATTGACTTTTTTATTTTTATTTTTATGTTTAAGAGCATTCTTTTTCTGCTCAATAAATAAAAATTCAAATCATAGCTAAGAATTTTATTTTGAACCTTCCAAGTATTATTTTTGTTGTAGTTTCCTTCCATGGCACCATTGCAAGGAGCTCTGCATCATGTGTCAGCACCTCCAGGCTTGATGCATGCTTCCAGCCTTCCTACTCATTTTTCGCAGTTGAAGGCACCTCAATCTCCAACTAATGAGTCCATGATGCCATCACATTCGCCTTCCTTTGCAACTGCATTCCCTCCTAGTAAATTCATTTCGTTATCTTCTGTTTCTTGTCAACTTTTCTTGGCTTCTTGTTTCGTTTATGTCTAATAATATAATCATCTCAGGTGCCTACATGGGGCAGCAATTGCATAATAATTACATGAGGTAAATGATTTGTTCTTGGTTATCGTTTTTTGTATCGCATCGCATGCTACGAGCCATTTCAGCTGACAATGAATATAATTTCTTAATTTTTCGGCCATTATCGTCATTTCAGACCACAAGGAGTCGGTGGCTTTGGCAGGGACGAAGCTGTGTTTGGCGCCTTAAGCACAACTCAGCAACCATTTCAGCAACCAAGTATCAGATACCCAGCACCCAGCAACTCAGAAACTTTTTCTTCAATGAGAGGAAACCCATTTGGATAGATGAAAGATTATTTCTTCCATTAAGTTTAAAAATTCTTTTGGCCTTCAAGCATTTTCAGGAGGAAGATCTGCATCCTTTCTGGTTAAACATAAGTGTAACGAGTAAATATAGATGCTACTTTGTACACATCCTACAGTTTCATTGGGGTCCAAGCCCTTTTCTCAAGATTTGTAAATATCTTGCTACCATGAGCAAATTTGTTCTTCCATGGCTGTACTAATTTGTATATTATTAATATATAGTTCCTTTGTGACCAAGATTCTCTAATTTTGCATGAGGCTGCTATCATATTTTACTCAACTGGAGCTGAATCTTGTGTATTTGGAAATAAAAAATGCTCCCTTATGCCATTATATTGTTTATGATGCACTTTTTGGATGAGGTTAGGAGCCTCTTCGTTTTGCTTTACCCGAATTTGAGTTTTTACGAAGCTGTCAGAGAACGAGCCAATAATTTCTCAATTTCTGAAGTGGACATTCTACTTCCAAAGCAGCGTTTTCCTTTTGACCCCTCTGGCTTGCATTTAGGCATGGTAGATGCATAGACTGGCTTCTGGAATGACGAATGGGTTGTTATTGCCTTAAGATGTCATGAATGGACATAATTTGTAAACAATCTTGCTCTCTCTCTCTCTCTCTCTCTCTCTCTCTCTCTCTCTCTCTCTCAATCTTTTCCTTATTTTTCTTTTCAAGTTAAGAAGTGGAAGTTAAGCTGAGCTAACTGCTCATGTTCTAGGAGATTAAGTACCTAGTGTGCCCTGGCCACACAACCCAACTGAAAAGCCATTTATAAATATAGAAAAATAATTTAGATGTGAATTGGATCTCACCAACTCATCCGCATCTCAAAATGAATTTAGATGCCCAACCGTCTCACTTGGCAGTGAAAAATCTACGTCTATACAGTTTAAAAAAAAAAGTATTATCCGAACCCTCTCTTCTTCTTTTTTTCAACTTACTTATAATTTTACATGAATCCCACAATATCACCACCAGTCATATTTCATATGACAGTTTGAAAAAAACAATTGTTAAGGAAAAATATGTTCGTACATGTTCAAGATGAGTATTATATGTTTGCTTATTAAAAAATTAGGACAAAAAAGGTATAGCCGTGCAGCTGTACTATTTCTTTTGAAAAAAAATACCCGGTATAGCCGATCGGCTATACTATATCTTTAAAACAAATTTAAAAAAAAAATCAGAGTATAGCCGCCGGCTGTACTATTCCTTTAAAAATAAAAATAAAAGGCATAGTCTAGCCGCTCGGCTATACTATTTAATACAAACAATTAAGAAAGAAGTACCCTCCTAGTTGCACTAGTTTGTACTTTATAGATATTGATTTCGTGTAGCCGCGCGGCTATATGAATATAAAATATTTTAATATATATTATTTGTATTCAATAATATGTGAGCATTATGTGTATACTACGTGAATTTTGTGTGTATTATTGAAAATTTTGAGAAAAATAAGCGTATTATGTTTGAAAAATTGTACGATTGCTTATTAAAAAATTAGGACAAAACCAAGTATAGCCGGGCGGCGATACTATTTCTTTTAAAAATTAAAAACAAGTATAGCCGTGCGGCCGTACTATTTCTTTTTAAAAAATACCGGGTATAGCCGCCCGGCTATACGATTTCTTTTAAACAAATTTAAAAAATAGGTTATAGCCGCACGGCTATACTATTTAATATTTTTTTTGAAAATAAAAAAGAGAAAGAAAGAAGGACCCTCCTAGTTGCACTAGTTTATAGTTTATAGATATTGATTTCCTTTTGACCCCTATGGCTTGCATTTAGGCATGGTAGATGCATAGACTGGCTTCTGGAATGACGAATGGGTTATTATTTCCTTAAGATGTCATGAATGGACAAAAATGCACCATTCTTGCATTTACAAATTATTGCTTCTTAGGGCCCCTGGGAATATAGGAATGTCAACAAAATTACTGAAGCGATATGTATGGTCCCTATGAACAGCAGCAGAATTTATTCAAAGCCTTGTGCATATAAGCAGGGCATCCTCTTTATTTAAAGGAGGAGGTATCTTATCATTCTGTTGTAGTAAAAGCCTCTCTACCAACGCACTAATTCCAATCAGATTGCCTGTCAACATGAGCTACCCAAGAACCTCTCTCCCATCATAAAGCTTGTTATAGCTAATGGTGTTGTTGTGATAGTTCCTAGTCACTCTGAAGATAAATCCAGATTGCAACTAAGGAGTTTGTGGCTTTTTCATACTCAGTCCCAAGCCTCTGATTTGCTAAAATTAGCCCGCTCTACACTAACAACTCCCAAAACAAAGTCAGTTAGTCGCTCACACATAAAAAAGAAAAAAAAAAAAAAAAAAAAAAAAAAATAACCACACCTGTGAAAATTGATATATAGCTTTTTAATATGAAGTTTTGATGCAGAACTTGACTTCTTGAGATGATAAATGGCTCATAATTAGGTTTACACGTCACGCCAGCAACATTACTAAATTATTCTATGTACTTGAATTTGTTTATTCATAGTCTTCCTCTGTTTTCTCTTTTTGCCTTTTTTAACTTTTTACCCAAGTGGAAGGTTAACCATTCAAAATCTTGAATTTCAACTAAGGGGAATAAAATCATGGAAAATGGGTTGGTTATCTTATCTTTGATGCAGATTAGCAGCACAATTAATGAAGAATATGCTTAGGCGCAAATGGGCTCTTATCTTTTCTATATTCATTCATATCTTTGCAGCTGTTGTGGAGGCGCAGTTGGAGAAACCAACAAGACTTGTAGACTTGTTCATTCAGTAAAAGTATTCATAAACTAAATAACAGTGCTAGAAGTTGGTAATTACTGCAGCTTATGATTCTTTCCGCCTCTGCATCAAAAAGTACAATTGCATGAATGTGGACATCAATTTATAATGGTGAATCTGAGTGCAAGTGTATGGTCAGGTCAGTCAAAAACATGAGCTTCTATGTGGAGGAAATTTTTAAGTGTTAACGGTTGTATACAATCATGTGTCTATCTTTTTCAAGTCACGTGATGAGAGAGATACACATATACTGACAAAACGAAAACCCAGCTTACAGTGAATGTACCTCTTTAGCATGTCAATATATGTATGATCAGTAGAAAGATAGACAACAGCTTCAAGAAATATGAACACAATTGCTTTCCTTTATTCATAGTAAGTCAATATATACATATTACAGTGTAGGCGATCTACAATGTAAGCAAGGAGGGAAAAGCTGCAGGCAACAAATACTGAGATTCAACTCACTAGCGAGTAATTTTTTCACTTGTTGACTCTCTCCCAGAACACCAATTTAAAACCATTACAAAAAGGCAAAGTTACAAGTAAAAAAACTAAAAAGCAAGCACCTTTTCTTTCTGTTCTGCAGAGAATTCCTCAATCCCACAAAATCCTCACTCTTTTTCAAATCAATTCCAAACTATGCACGCACCATCTTAATTACCAACTTCAAAATGTACGCTACATCATCAAACAAATACAAAAGTCTAGACACCACCATGCATCCATATCATAGAAGCAGGCTTGTCCCTGCCCAATTTTCTAATACACAGAAGCAAATACGCAACCATCCCAACCACAAAGCCAAGTGCTGCACTTGATCCCACTAGTGAGACTGCAGTGCAAATAAGCATCACAAAAGACTCCCCCTTCGTGTTCATGTCCCTGGCACACATGGCTAGTTCAATCCCAGCAAACAAAAGCAGAACCCCCAAGACCCCAACAGGAAACTGGTTCAAAATGGTCACCAAGGAGGTCCCTAAGACCAAACCCAGCACCAATTTGGCTGTGCCTAGAAGAGCCACGCACCCACCACTCCTACCCCCAAACTTGTACTGCCCTGCTAGCCCACCAGCTCCATGGCAACTTGGCATGGCCCCAAACCAACTCCCCACCACATTCATCAACCCAACTGTCACTGAAATTGAAGTGGCTGAGAAATCCCTCTCAGGAAAAAGATCATTGGACAGTTTGCACACAGCTACCACTGAATTCAATATAGACAAAGGTAGCTGAGGAATTGCCCCTTTGATGAACCCTTCTTTCCATGCATGCCTAGAAATCTTCACCACTTCCATGGGAGAGGGTCCAAATTTAATTTCATGCACAATCTTTGGTTTTCTTATAAAGGCCAAAATCACACCCAACACAAAAATCAGAAAAGCTGAAGGAAGTGTGGCTATGATTTTCCTCCACCTTGCCTTTTCGCTAGGCCTCCCTTCCACATCATTATTAGAACCCACATCAGCATCAGCCTCCCCCTCACTTCTCTGATGATATTCCTCACCTGCACCATTAACAAGCACTATAAAACAAGTACAAACAATAGCCAGAACCAACCCATCTAAACCAAACCAATGCCTCTCCCCCAAAGCCTTAGACTTGGGCAAGTTTTGAACTTTCTTAATGTATTTGACCGCAGTCAACGCAAATGACAAGCCTTGTGCTAGCTGAATCCCCCTAACAACACATAAAGGGATAAACTTGTAAACCAACTTCATCAACCCTGTGACACCCAGAACAAGTAAGATGCCTCCAGTTAAAATCCCAGCAGCCATGATTTCAGGCACACCAAAATCTGGGTTGGCCAGAGCAGTGGCTGCAATTGCCTTCATGGGTTGGACTGGCATGGGGACTCCATAGATGGCACCAGTGATAATGTTGTAGACCCCAGTGAAAATCAATGTTGTGCCCAAATTCAAGTCCCTGGAGAGTGTCAAGGCCACAACAATTGGTATGTATGTGCCCAAATCACCTACTGCCCCATTCAATTCTGCCCATTTGGACTTGAAAATCAGATTGGATTTTACTTGGCTGACAACTTTGGCTGAGAAACTGGGTGGTGGTGCGGATGACTGAGACTGAGGAAAAGGTTGATGAGGAGGATGGTTTTGGGTTGGAGGGAATTGGCTGTTTTGGGACTCCATATGTAAATGCGGTTTGGTAGATCAATCTGAAATGCTCTTATGGGCGTGTGACTT